GGATAAAATCATGAAACTCTTAGAAAAAATAATATATGCTGACGTTTTGATGATGGTAATGGTGATATGGGTCGTGCCCATGTGTTACGGTCATGGAGATCAAACTGGGTCAGATTGGAATGATGCGCGTGCAACATTTTATGGTGACATCAATGGTGGTGAAACTCAACGTAAGTTTGCATACTAATAGTTGAAAAATCTGAAGATATGTAAAAATTAGGGGTTTCGGTTACAATAGCCAATTAGCCATCATGAAACGTTGTGAGTGAGAGACTCAATCTTTGACCTCAACGTAGAGAAATCAAGTGACTTAGTTGTTTGGTAGAGACAGAGTAGATAAATGAAAAAAAAAATGAAGTTGTAATCTTTAATACCATTTTCATTTTTATATTTGTTAGAGGGAGCTTGTGGATATGGTGATCTAAACAAACAAGGATATGGTCTGGAGACCGCGGCACTGAGCACGGCGTTGTTCAACAACGGCTCTACATGTGGGGCTTGTTACGAGATCAAGTGCGTAAATAGTCCACAATGGTGTTTACCCGGTATCATCAGGATAACAGCTACAAATTTCTGTCCACCAAATTACGACAAAACCACTGACGTTTGGTGCAACCCACCACAAAAACACTTTGATCTCTCCCAACCAATGTTCCTCAAGATCGCCAAGTACAAATCAGGTGTTGTCCCGGTTAAGTACAGACGTGTTCCTTGTGTGAAAACCGGTGGTGTCAAGTTTGAAACCAAAGGAAACCCTCATTTCTTAATGGTTTTGCCGTACAATGTAGGAGGAGCCGGAGATGTTAGGGCCGTCCAGGTTAAAGGAACCAAGACCGCGTGGATACCGATGAAGAAGAATTGGGGACAAAACTGGAACACCGGTGTTGTGTTGACCGGACAATGTTTATCGTTTAGGCTCACATTAAGTGATGGGATTACGAAGGATTTTATTAATGTGACAACACCGAGTTGGAGCTGTGGACAAACTTTTGATGGAAGGATTAACTTTTAGAAAAATAATTTGAGTTTTGTAAGCAACTAATAAAAAGAAGAGGGAGTATAATACCCCGGGTATTGATAAATTGATTCATAAATAATTATGTAAAAGAGAAATTAATTGTTATCAGTTTAAAGATTTGTATATTATTTATAATTTTTGTATAATTAATAATATCATTGTTTTGATGATTTTTTAAAAATAATTCCTCTCAAAACCTCTACTTTTCTTTTAACATATTCTTTATTAACTTTCATGAAATACATATTCATACATACAATAATAAATTGGTTAATTAGAGAATGCAAATTTGACTTAATAACAGTAAAAACTTTTTGAATATCTGAGACCTCAATTTGCTAATTGATCAGCCTCTGTGTTTGTTTTCCTATATTGTACTGATGTGAATATGACTCCTATAAATGTTGTTTCCCACAGCTGAATATCTTATAGGACACTATCCATTGGATAATTCATAATCTCATGCTATTTAAAAAATTTGATTACCATTATAATTTATAATTCTACTAGAACAGGACCCGCATTAATACGCAGATAAAGATATTAAAAAATATTAATATCAAAATTTAAATTTTAATTAGTAGCCCGTTTGATTACAAAAATATTTTGAAATGTTTAAACATAGATCTCAAACCATTAAAATTCAATTTATATTTTAATACTCATGTCATAATTCATATTATGGAGGTCAAAAAATATATATACACAAATAGAATTCAAATCATATTTTTAATAACAAAAATAAATAATCTTATACATTATGGATTTATATTAACTATATAATAAAATATTATAACAATTAAAATATGTTAGAGTTAAATTATAAAAAAATAAATTAATGTGAATAATCTCCTAAATACCTACACTACAAGAAAACAGGCAAATTTCCGACGGT